TAAAATTGGGAGCACTCTGAGAATTTTGTCAATGGAGAAATGAAACCAAACTGTGAACCACTTACTTTCTCTCTAATGATGAAATTGCCTCACTGACAATTATTTCTGCAGTGAAAAAGTTTATAGCAGAAATTATTTTGGCAATGATGTTTAAGACAATGATGTCTATGGCAACACTATGGGATACCGTCTCCATGGGGCCAGGTCTTCACAAGGCTGGCACGGGTCTTGTCATGGGGCAGCTGTGTGCTGATAAAAGTCCGAATGCACAGATGCTTTTCAAGCCTCAGCCTGTATCCTGTTTGCTGATCAAAGCAAGTCAAATGGCAGGTCCTACATCAAAGAGGAGACTGACTACAAGGTCATGGATACAGGAGGGTGTACTTTATTGGAGGCCCTTACTATAACAATATATCATACCTCAGGTATGGGTCAGCCTCTAATACATTCTCTCAGGTTCCTGTCCTGCCTACCTCCTATTCATTCTACACAACCACAGCTAGACAGTACTTCTTAAATACTAATTATTCTGTCATTCTAGGGATCAATGGTTCTCATTCCATGGTAATCCTGTTCCCCATGATACATTTGGCAACATCTGGGAACAGTGTGGTTATCACAGTTTGAAAGGAGGGAGATGCTACAAGTATCTATTGTAGTAGGCAGAGGTCAGGGATGCTGCTAAACATCCTATGGTGCACAGGGCCAGCCTGTGATAACAAAGAACTGTCCGGCCAAAAAGGCAAATATTAATAGTGTGGAGATTGAGAACCTTACCAATCATTTGTTAAGTAAGGAGAGATTCTCTACATTTATCAGCATGATTTTCAGAAAGATCTGCTTCTCATTAACCCCCAGAGGTTACCCAGTGAAAGAGAACCAAGGGTAAGCTCTTCATCAGAGTCCTCTACAACCTAATTCCACCTTATATATCAAACATCTCTCCCTTTCGTCTCCATCAGAGCTACTACTGTCCCCCAAGGGTGACATCGTTGATCATGTAATTCACTTTATAGCTCCTTCCTGTCATGACAAAATGTAAATATTCAATATAAAAGATCTCTTAGCTTTTCTCTCTTCTACCTAACTCATTTCCCAGCCTTGGTAGAAGAGTTGGATACTGCTTTTCCTATCAAAGTTTTTTCTATTTTACGGTGACTTATCACTTATAAGAATGTTACTTAATGTGTATGGCAGCTCAATTAAAGGCCAAAGGAATGCTTTTTATTTTCAAGTTGTTTCCATGGTTTTATTTTTCCAGTTAAAACTTTGATCCATCTAGAATTTATTCTGAGTCAGGTATGAATTGTCAATTCACTTTACTTTGTTTCTGGATTTCTACCTAGTTTGTCTCAACACCATTTATTCAACACTATCTTCATGGATTTTAATACCATCTGTAGCATGTACTAAATTCCTGTATGTGTTTGAGTTTATTTCTGAACTTTCTAGTCTGTTCTATTGAGGAATCACTCACGTTTTGAAGGAATCTTTAGCTTATAAAAAAAATTCTCAAAGGAGTCCCATAAATATTGGTTTGCATTTTTGTATTTTTAAATGTTCATTTATATATCATTCAGCAGTTGCAAACAAGATTGGGGGAATGTAGGGAGGACATTGAAGACATTTGTTAGGCACAAATGCATATTGACGGTCCATCTGAAGTTTTCATGGAAATCAGTAAGAAAATAGGAGTTGATTTTTAGAAAGAGTAAGGGACTCCCTATTTAACTAAAACATGAGGTGCTTCTACAAAGCTATTCACAAGGCAGTAAGGAATGCTTTTGAATGTACCCAACAATATGCCCAGGGGAAGGCCAAGGTTATATAATCTGTCTCTCATTTTTTTTTTTTTTTTTTTTTTAAGAAATAGAGGAAAAAGAGGAGAAAAAAGACATAGCAGGCATTTCTTTTCTATTTCAGCATCCAGAAACAGCCAGCAAGGAATCGGAGATAACAGAGCAGCCTTTGAGAGCCCATCATTTGGTAAGTAAGGAGAGCTTGTCTACATTTATCAGCATGACTTTTAGAAAGATTAGCTTCTCTGTGGCTGCTCCAGAATTTTAAAAATCAAAGATCATCTTTTTAGAGTGTGTTTCTCAAAATAGTGGAACAACATTGAAAAGAGTTTTATGATCAAATACATTTCCAAACCACAGATACATCTGGAAAAGAATCCTACTGTATTCTTTCTTGAATGTGATAAAGAAAGCTATTTTAATCTAATTATCCCTAAATGTTTTTTTATATGGAAGCGTTTTAGTTTTGTTTTGGTTTTGTTTCTGCTTCTGTGGTTCCCCAAAGTATGTTTCCACAGAGTAAGTGCTCTTGAGAACATACTTTGGGGAACCACATGTTAGACACTGACTGGAGTGATGGGTCATGAGAAATTATCCCTTGCTACTACACCATAAATCGGACCAATGTCCTATAGTAGAGAATGAGCACCAGCCCTTAACCTCCTCTTCTCCTGGTGGGAGAGGCTTTTAATGGAAGCCCATTGTAATCTACCCTATAGGATTTCCTTTGGTACCACAGCCATCCTCAGAGCCTGACTTACCATTTTAGTTACCCTGTCTCAGAAAGATCCGATAAGCCTGTTGGGGTGAAACTAGATATATCCAAGTAATGGCATTATCACTGAGGGACCAATTAGAAGGTTCAGAGGTGACTGTGTTCACCAAAAGGCTTGCAAAAACTGATATGTTATTATTTTCCAGTACAGTATATAATCTTTCAAACATATGCACCTCTGCAACAGCTCAAGTCTCAGTTTTCTCCTGATATCTACTCATGGCTTACTGCCCCTAAGAAAATTATGGGGGGGAAATTGAAGATTTTACAGAGAGGAATGTGTTGGCACATTTACATCAGAGTGATTTACTTACTCTTCATGTGGCTATGATAAGAGAGAAAAGAATAATCTGGCACCCATGTACCCATACCCGAAATTAGCAAATGTGAACATTTTATTGTATTTTGTTCTGTTTATTTTTAAAATACAGCATTATAGACCCAGTTGAACTTCCTTTTTGATTGCATATTGCATTTGTAATCAATATATAGCGTTGTTGTGTCTTTGTGTTGACAGCTATAAGACTCTGATAAATCTTTCATTGTAAAAACTTACATATAATGCTCCAAACAGTAGCAAACACCACTTGCAAACCAGAGCACAGTAACAGCACTGAGTGAGAAGCGTTGTTTCAAACCTCTGATCCCATAATGTAAGCAAAGCTCATATATCATTTTCCCACATTAGCCAACTGTGTCTTATACACCTTGCTCCTCTCAGTTAAGAAAAAATTATCTATAATAATAAAAGCATAATATGCTAATTAGACCAGATGTCCTTCTGGATGAAGTGGCAGCCGGCAGGGGCCAGGCAGAAGTGGCCAACATAGTCATGGGGGCCGAGCCCCTTGCATGAATTTTGTGCATCCAGCCTCTAGTGCATATAATAATAAAAGTGTAATATGCTAATTAGACCAGACAGCCGAACATCCTTCTGGATGACCTTCTGGAGCTGCGAGGGCCAAAGCAAGGCACCAGAGCTGTGAGGGCAGAGCCCCTTGCACAAATTTTGCACATTAGGCCTCTAGTTTTATTGTATAGTAGAGGCCCAGTGTACAAATTCATGCACAGATGTGAGCCAGCCAGGGGGAGGAGCTGAGGGCAGTTGGCCGGCCAGCCCCACCTCCTGGTCAAACTCCCAGCTGAACTGTCAGTTAAACTGCCCTCTAGGGGACAATTTGCATATTAGCCTTTTATTATATAGGATGAAGGAAGTAGAGACAGAAGTTGAGTCCAGTGAAAATAGATTGATCCCAGTTTAACTTCTGGACAATTAAAAATAGCCAATTCCAGTAAGCTGAATGACCCCAAATTCCTGCCCCTTGGTGTACATGCTCTGTACAATCACTCTCCTTTTTTCCAAGTGAGCAGGACCTGTGAATATGCTGGGACATTAACTCTTGTGATGCCATTATCCTATGTAAGACTCTGTCCCACCCGATTGGAGTGAGATGCTTCTACTGGCCCTGAAGTAGCTAGCATATTGAGAATGATTCCTGCGGCTATGACCTAAGGGTGCAGGTTTAATGTGATTGTGTCTTTTATAGTTTCATGTAAGGAGAATCATACAGGATGTCCTTTTTCATGCCTGCCTTCTTTTGCTTTTTCGATTACTTCATATTGTTGTATATTTCAGTAATTCATTCCTTTCTAGTAATGAGTAGGATTACATTGTACATATTACAATGTGTTTATCCATAACTTTGTTAATTGACATTTGGAGTATTTCCAGATTTGGGCTATTATGAATATAGCTACTATAAGGTTTCTGTTCATATCTTTCTTCAAGGGAACATATGTGTGTTAGGTAAATTTCTAGTGAGATTGTTGGGTAGCCCAGTAGGTATATGTTTAACTTCAGAAGCAACTTAGTGCTTTCCAAAGTGATTGAAATTTTGCACTCCCACCAGCACGTAAGAGAGTTCTAGGTTCTCCACACCCTTGCCAACCTTGAAGAAATCAATACATTTGACATTGTGATAGAACATATAAAATCATGAGCAAGGATATAAAAGAGAAAACATTCCTTCCAGAGTCATCTGACTTATTTTTCTCTCAGAATACATTGAGTGACTGAAGAAAACTAGATTACAATGTACCAATTAATAATCATATGAATAAAATTAATCCATTAATCCATTAAATACCAATATTTAAAATGTCGGCTTTTTCACTTTATCATTATTGGGGGAAAGGTAATTTGGCATACAAAATGCATTATTCGGGTAACCAAATGACAAAATTTCACAAGCAATTATTACTTCATTACCTATCTCTATCTAAGTTCAAAAATAATTTATATCTAATTTTAATTGGGGAAATTTCTGGACATTTTTAACTAAGTATATTTTTCAAAGTCCTTGTTTCTAAAAATTCTGCTTTTGTAAAAATGTTAGCAAGTAAGGGCAGAAATGTCATGAAATATCTCAACTCTTTTGTAAGTTTCTTTTACTTTGACCAGGTCAGAAGTGAGGCTACAGCCATAAAGATGGAGAATCTTCAATCTAAAAAAGAAAAAGAAAAGAAAAGACCAGATTATAATAAAATTTGAAGAAATGGCACACTACATTTACAATTGGCAAACTACATTTCTTCAAATTGTGGAGGGGATACAGTTGAGCCTAGATTCTTAGTGTGATAAATATATGAAAAGTCTTTAAAATTACTTTGACTAATACTTTATGTTTCTCAAATGAGAAAGGCCACATCAAACTTGAGAATAACAAGTATATTTTTTAAGTTTGTCATATTAGTGAGTGAATGATGAGAATATATGAAATAAAGACCAGCTGTATTCCAAAGGTAAAATGTGTTGGGCCCTATGAGAGAGATAATCACTGTTTATAAATAAAGCTTTATAGAAACACAGTCATGCCCATTCACTTTCATGCTGTAGCTGAGTAGTTGCAACAGATATTTAAGCTGCAAAGCCTAATACATAGTTTCATTGGCTCTTTACAAAAAAAGTCACCAACCCTCCTTTACTGTATATGAAGAAGTGAGGGAAGCACATGCTTTACTCCTCTCATAGCATAAGTTAACTTAATGCATTAGACAAGAATCTCCTCATTTTCAAACCAATCCTCTACCTTCAGCGTCTCTAAAATTTTTTTAAAACCAATAAACACAGTAATTCAACTTACAGGGGGAAAATGTAGTCATCACAAGGGAATTGTGGTAGAATGAAGGAAAGATGTGGATATTCTATTAATGGCAACTTATTTAATGTTTTGAAAAGTAAGAGAATACTGACTGACCACAATCTTGTCCAGTTTTTTGTGATTGTTCAATTTTTTCAGTTTCTCAGTATTTTAGAAGAACCCTATGATAAATTCTTCTTAGAATGTATTAACTTTGCCTTTAGTGAATAATTACTAGACTCCCTTTTAGAAAGCAGAAAGGACTGAGTTTATCTCATTTTGCCCACTCTGCCAGCAGTTCCAAACTTATATTTAGTGTTTAACTATGGGACTCATCTTAATCTCAATTTCATTTCTACTCTTTCTCTAGTTGGTTTCTAATCAAACTTTTTTGTTGTAACTTTGAATTGCTCAGTTATATGTGTGTGTGTACATGTTTTGTTTTTAACTTTAGAAATGTCCCAAAGCCTTTTGAAAGTAGGTAGAATTTATAAATTATAAATAATTATAAACAATAATTAGGCAGTTATGTGTGTTTTAATGTTGGTAATATTGGAATGATAATTATGTCAATATTTTCTGTCATTACTAATTATTTTATAACTGCTTAGGACACACTCAGCTTCATATTCCCAAAAATAAATTTATATCTTAACAATAAACAGATCATGTTCTAAGGCCACAATGGATTTCTTCCTAGGGAAGCCAATGCATTTGATCTCAAACACTCAAAAATTACTTTTTGCTCCAGAGAATGCAATATTTGCATTGTTAGATCAGAGATACATTTATATTCGTCCAAAATAATATTGAATTGTACATTTCTTTGTGGTAAGAAAGTTGTTCTCAATTCTATAATATGAGATGATAAAATATTAATATCTTTTTTTAAACTAAAAAAGATGAAAGCTCCCGTTCCCAGAGTGCAAAATGAGTCAAACTAGATCAATCAGAAAGATACCTATAAAATTCTAAAACCATTCCTATTCCTCTGGAAAGCATTATAGAAGTCAGTATTCAAAGGATGAAATACTCAAATAGCCAATACCCTGGAAGTCTCAGCTTAGCAATGAACACTAATTTCTTAGTAATATAGTAATTGGAAATACAGAATCAAGGCTTCTAATGTTATAAGTATATTTTAATTTGCAAGTCGTTTGTGTTAGAGAAGATGGGTGAATAAAATGGAAGCTAGCTTTTAAAAAAATAAGAGGTCACATTTGCACCACACAATGAGAAGTAGTAGACAGATTTCTTTGCCCACCAACACATTTGTTAAGAATGCCATGCCTTTTGAGATGATTTTTTAAAAACAATGTAGATTTCATTATGTCTTTTAAGCTCTCAATGCCTGTTTTCCAGTTATTACAATAACTTATTAGTTAATTTTTATAAGAAATTTACAATTGGCAAACTACATTTCTTCAAATTGTTCCATTGTCTTGTTGGTTTTGAAACCTAAAATGTCCCAGGGTTCCATATAGAAGTTTTTGCTCTATGGATTCCTCCCATTTGTTGTCTGAACTCCCTCACTGAATAAAATATTAATTCATGACAAACCTCTTAGACTTCAATCAAAACCCTCACACTTCACCAAGTAGACCAGGACCAATGAAATTGTTTTTTAAATACTTTGACACCTAAAGTGGTCACTTGAACTCAGATAAGTCTTGAAATGTTTTTCTTTCACAAGTTTATATAATTCTAGTCAACAGTATTCCAAGGACAGGACCAAAATAACTAAAAGATACTTCACTTAAGTTTTTCCAAGTTTTTTTTTTTCAGAACTGTTTTATGAATTCTGTAGTACAAAGGAACTAATACATTCCCTGCTATTTGAAGTCATGAAATCTGATTTAGTCTTAAATGTAGTCAGTAGTTTCTGTGAAATATTTAATGATTGCTAGAACTCTGTGTTTAAAAGGGGGAGGAAGTGAAACAACCATGAGGACTTACAAAGAAGCACAAACCAAAACAAAGCTAATATCAAGGTTTCTCTTCACTTTGTGATGAGACTATGACTAAAAGAGATACAAGCGGCCTAATCATCATTCTCTTACCTTCTACAGTTTTTGCAAAGTTTTTTAACCACATCCTGGGTGACATTCTTACAGAAACTGAGTTTCACGCATTCCAAACTAATATGACAATAATTAGTCAATGAACAGACTCTAGAAATGAGAAAGAGGACAAAAAGTTTTAAAATAGGTAGTTAAATGTACTTTTCACAAAGTTTTCAAAAACTCAACCCTCAAGTTTACCTTGACCCTACATATCAACTAACACCACTCCACCTCCCCCTCACCAACTCTGAGACTGCACATGGAACTTCTTGAAAGAAATACACATGGTGGACACACCTAATTAAAGTTTCCAGAACATAAAATCAAGCAAAAATTAAGAATGACAGGGAAAAGATGTTAAGATGTCAGAGTTTCATTCTGAGGTTCTTAGAGAAATGGTAACAGTAGATAAATCCAGAGAATTATTGGTGTTATTATTTCTATGTGTATTTATAATAAGTGAGTGCAAGTAATCATTATCTTAGCACCTGGCACCAGAATTATTCCCTGGAGAGACCTTAGGGTATTGGTGAAAAAGAGCCTCATTGATTCTTATAGGAGGAAAGAATTTGCAGAACATGTGACAGTTCTTCTTTTCTTGGACAGGGATGGGATTTTCTTCCTCCTAACTAGGAGAGGGGAGGAAGAGGGAGGGGGGCTGGAGCCAGCAAGGTGAAGTTGAAGGACTTGTGGAAGTGTATTCTTAGCTGTGATGCAAGCCCTTCGTAGGGCTCCCTGAAACATTTTTACTGAAGTTTATTTTGCTCACCAATGAGCTAGAAGAGGGTGAGCTAACATTAACTTTTCATAAAATGGCACCCTTGGACAAGTATCTAGAAAGTATTTTAAAGACCTAACATTAGTACTATATTATCTATAAAGAATATTTATAAATCTATGAAGCAAGATATACATTTCAATATTAAATTAGGCAAAAAAAAAACCCAAACACCTCTCCTATGCTACCAACTAAAATATAAAAGTAATCAACTAATGCATCATGCTATTTAAAAATAAAAAAATATTTAAAAATTTTAATGTTAAGAATCAGCAGCAAAACAAATCAAAATAAGACACCGCTCCATATGATGCTGGCTGTATATTAAAAAAGTACTGAGGTTTCCTATTGAATGATCAATAAAGGCTCTTCCATATATTACTATTAGAAAAATAAAATATTCAGCCCTTTTCAGAGCAATTTAGCAATATTTACTTGAAATTCTTAAAAATGTTTATTTCTCTTTCGAGAAACTAGAGATTCCTTTTGGAATATGATATCATAGTCTACATTATAGACTCACAAGATGTCCTTAAAATGATAAACTGAAATGGATGATAAAGTCATGATTCATTATCTTAAAAAAATTATATATATATATATATATATTTCAGAGAGGACGGGAGAGGGAAAGAGAAATGGAAACATCAATGATGAGAATGAATCATCAATTGGCTGCCTCCTGCCTACTGGGGATGGAACCTGCAACTCAAGCATGTGCCCTTGAATGAAATCGAACTCGGGATCCTTCAGTCAGCTCTGTCCACTTAACAAAACCAGCTAGGGTGATGATTCATTATTTTAAAGCAACTGGATAAAAAGGTTAATCTGCAAAGTTCTTACCCTCTTTTGCTTATCCCTGTAGAACTTAGGTCCAGATACTTGAGCTGGTGGCAGTTTCTTGCCAGTGCATGAATTCCTGCATTGGTTACCTGTTGGCATCCACTCACATCCAGATACCTGCAGAGTTTATGTAAAAAGGATTTAGTGGGAGTTTTTCACAAATTGGTACATTAGTTTCTCCTCTCTAGTTAGTAGGTTAAGAATTAGTGTTTCTATACAGAGAAACATTAGCTAATGTTTAACTAACTAGCTGAAAGGAAAGGACACTTCAATGGAATCTTCTGTTATAAAGAAGACATATGCCAATGGAATTCAAATCACACCGTACAGTGCTCACATTCCTAGCGACGGAGTTCTGTCTTCTATACTCCCATATCTTCTTGGTTAAATACCAGAAGCTCAAAGTATCTAAACAAGTTTAGCCTTACATTGATTTTCATAGAATGATTTGATCATGAAAATTATTTTTTAAATGTATTAAAGATAACATAAATAAGACTTCCATGATCAGAGTACAAATAAAGCTCAAATGTTTGTGCTGCTTTCATTTAAGTATTTTTAATATAAAAGTCAAGAAATAGAATACTTTTCCAAGTAAAAAATCTTAGAGACACCATTGTTAAATTTTTACAAGACCAAAAATAGATTTATCTTTCATAGTAGAGAAAAGCTTATATATAGACGTTGACACAGATATAATAATAACCATATTATTAATTTGTATTGTTTTATTTTTTATATTTTATATTATCAATCTTCTTTTACCTCTAAAGTTACCTTGAAGAGTTAGTTCATAACCCTTTGAGCTTATAGACAAAAATCATCTTTAGGGTCTTCTCTTGGGTCTTATTACTAGGAACCACCATACTTTATGTACCTTGCCTCTGTATGGAAGCAAATGCCATTTCTGAAAGTCTCGCTTTACTAAAGAAGAATGTGACCACTTTGTTGGAATCTGGTTAAAATGCTCACAGAGGAGGAAGTACCTGAGGGTTCTCAGATAGGTGCTGATTTCCACCAAGCTCACATTGGTTACCTAAGAGCAGGAGCTGAGGACCAGATTGTCCAGCTTAGGGCATCGCATCACAATAAAATGAATGATCTGATTCCTCACCTAAAGGGAGGAAACAAACAAGAATTGATTTTCAATCACAGGGCTCTGCCCAGAGAAGACAGGGCAATGAATCAAATGTGTTAGAGATTAAAATGTGTACTTATCTTTTTCCCAGAGACTTTATAATGTTTATCATCAACATAGGAGAATTCTCATTTGAGGGCTGCCTAAGATGTGTCAGATTTTGAGCAAGGCACTTTATATGCACTAGCTCTAATCCCTGTAATGGTGCTATAAAATAGATGTTAGCATCCCCACTTTACAAGTAAGGAAACTGTGAGTCTGGGAGTTAAATGTCTTTTTCAGGCTAACAGTCAGATCTAGGGCTGATGGTTGCAAAGCTCATATTTTTTTCAAAGCACTTTCAATTGAGAACTAAACTGAAAAGAGTCAGTCATCTGATACAAGCCCCCCAGGTTCTCTAATAATAAAATCAGCAAGTAAGCAAGACCTTGAAAATTAAAGACATAAACTGGAATTACTATAATTATAAGATCTAAAATTAATGTCAAGTTTAGGCCTAGTGGGTTCAATTTTAAATTATTATTAGAATAAAATGAGTTATGAAACACTAAGATATTGAGGGTGAAACATAAGAACCTAATAAACATATGAGAACCATACTGGAACCTAATATACATAAGAAAACCAAATCTAACCTATGATTAACCTCAAGATTTTCTGTGACTTTTCTTCTTATTTTAACCACTGTTCATTATGTTTTTTTAACCATTGTATTAATGACTACTTAGTACTCTATTAATTTTAAGATTTTATACAATTCCATAATATCATTATTATGGAAAAGTCACTAATAATCACCTAATTGCAACTAGGATAGTGCTAGGCACTGAACACAGACTTAGATTTCCTCCCTCATAGTTTATAATGGACAGGATTTTGAAAGTCCTATCTATTCATATACATATAGATGCACACACCCATAAGGAAGGGAAAATCAAGTTCTAATTTTCACCCACCTTTATATCTGTTCATCACTATGTCTTTATATATAGCTGTATATCTATGGTCTGTCATCTATCCATCTATGATGTAGTATAATTATGCTATAATAATTATTCACTTTATTCATTATTGTCTGATTTACGTATATATGTACATTTATGCTCTCTATGTAAGTGAGCACAAAAGCCCACTTTTCAAACCTTGAACTCCATCTGGACCACAAAGGCTCAATCTCAAGAGCAAAGAGAGCATGACACTCTTCCATGATGGCTGTCTTAAGAATTTACTGAAAAGCTTGACATTCAGAGAACATCATGAAAAGTATTTGACTTTCTAGGACATAAAAAAAAATGAAAAAAGTCACAGAATAACCTGTCTAGGATACCAGGTTAAGCTATTTTCTCATACCCTCAGGTGACCCACACTTAAAGGAAACCTTATGTAAGAGAAAGTCAAACTTAGAAAGTAGGAAAATTAGGAAGTAGCAATTCATTTTATAAATAATCTCATGCAAGGTTCCTAAATATAATATAACAAGTCTTCAGTATACATTCAAAATGAGATTTGATTCACAACATTTTAATTGACATGTAATTACTGTAATATAGAATTCATAGCCTGGCTGCAGCCTGGTTTAAATTAACATGAATTTACCTAATACTGACCACATGCCAGGAACTTTGGTTTGCTTTGTGATCAGCACATACAGCCCCAAAGAATTATTGTGAATGGGCTACAAATCTATGCTCTGTACATCTGTTTTAATGCCAGAATCTACAAAATCCCCATTTGAATATAGAAATCAGAGTCATGGAATTGCTTATCCCATTTTATACTTAGATTAACTAAGGAACCTCAGATATTATAGAATTTATTAAACTAGCCTGAAATAATTTAACTAATAAGCTCTGCTCCTTAATCCAATATGTTACATGTGCTAATTTGAGAGCTCTTCATGGATTAGAAGTGCACACCTGGAAATTGAGTTAAATTAAGCTATTGTTACTGTGTGAGTTTGTTATATTTAGTTAAAAGAAACTAAGAATGAGAGCTTGTTCCTTCCCAGAATTTTGAGTTTGCAAAAGACTTCCCCAAACATATAAAAATGCATCATCGAGCAAGTTAAGAGAAGACTGTCAACTTTTAATGGAGAATTTCTTTCAAGGGCATGACATTTTGATTTAAAAGGAAAAGAAATACAGTATTGTTCTACTCTTATTACTTCATTAGAGCAGTATTAAAGGCAAGAGCACTTCAGAGCCCAAGTTGAAGCTATAAAAAGGAAATCAAGCACATAAAATTTATAATCCCACTGCTTATGTCAGAACATTCTTTCACTGGCTTTCAATCAACCAGTATCAAAAGGCATAATAACAATCTGTTCTCAGTCAGCGGTACTGTC